AACAGATTGATGACGCCGCATACGTACAATTTGACAAAGAGAAGAGCGTATACACGAAAAATGACACTTAGTGTGAGGAAAAAGAAAGACTGATAGACAGAAACGAAACACTGAAATAAAAAAAAAAGTAGGACTTACCAGTAACGCTCTCCAACTATCCGGGAGGACGGGTTAAAGCTCACGCACTTATACGTTTACTGGACACATGCAGCCTGGAAAAGATTAAAAAGAATAAATTCATAAAAATACAGCACTGGTATGTAAGAAAAAAGAATATATAAATTCATAAAAATAATGCACTGATATGTTAAACCCCCCCCAAAATACACAGATCTATTTAAATTCATAGAAATAATGCACCCCCACGTTTAAACAAATAAATCCATAAAAATAATGCACTGATATGTAAAGAAGAGAACGAATTCACAAAAATAATGCACTGATATGTAAAGAAAAGAATGAATTCACAGAAATAACGCACTGACATGAAAAAAGAGAGAAAATAAATCATGCAAATAATGAACTGACGCGTTAAATAAAAAGAATGAATGCATAAAAATAACGCACTGATATGTAAAGAAACGAATACATTCATGGAAATAATGCACAAACAGCATGTAAAACAAAAAAGAAAGAAAAAAAGTCATTAAAATGAAGCACTTACGTGAAAAAAAGGGGAACAAATTCATAAGAATAATGCATTGACATGTTACAAAAAAAAGAAAGATAAAAAATGATTGAAATGATGCGCTTATGAGTAAAAAAAAAAAGAAAGGATTAAATTCATAGAAATAATGCACTGATATGTAAAAAAAAATCATTCATGCACGCTGTTATTATTAGAAGCAGAGTTCTTTTACTCTCTTCAAGTCTAATCCCGCGTCTCTTCAAACGAAAGGCTCTCACACCTTGCGTATTTCAATTTTACAAACCCCTGAGTACCTAGAATCACAGACGATGGAAGTAGTGAAAAAGAAATAAACACAAGAACAGCAACTGCTAAAACAAGATTCAGCTAAAGGTACAAATTATTTAAATCCAGGCAATTGTATGTCACTTTGAGAAAGAAAATGCTGGAATGCTACACCTTTCTCATATTTTTATATGACTGACAAGGAAAGAAAAAAAATACGTTTGAGATGTGGTACTATCGTAGAATGGCCAGAACAAGTTGGAAAATAAAACAGATAAACAATGAGGTGTGTCAGATTCTACACACAAGACAAACCATGCTGAACAAAATAAAATGTAGAAAAATGCACTACTTTGGCCACTTAAAACTTTAAACGACACGAGACCATCGTGAAAGAGAAGAGGTGCCTGAAGGAAAGATGCGGGGCAGGAGAGCCAGAAGAAGACAAAGAATAATATGGATGGACAACATC